CAGAGTCCCTTCCATACTGTGTAAGGGGTTTTTTCTTCACTGTATGTACATTATTTGCATAATTTTTAATATAAAAAAAATAAAATGAGCCAATAGGACCTTCAAAAAAATCAGGAAAAAATACGCTCTCCATATATAGACAAACCACCTCCACAAATTAATAAACTACAATTGTAGCTTAAAAAAAACTCTAAGAGAACTCTCAAGGAGTTCCAGGGTCAGGCCAAAAACTTAAGAGGGCAAAGCCAGTCATATTTTAGAAACAGAAAACAGTGGGAATCTCCCTGAATGAGAAAAGATAACCCATAGCTCTAACCAACTGTTGCCATGGAAAATGATGTCTTAACAGAACACATAACATATTTTAGTGAAATCTCTTGATTTTTATAGGTGACAACAAATTCAGATTTTCTTAAAATGCTATGCAAATCAAACAAAGCCCGACACATCCAGCATATGAGAATTAAAAAGAATCACACACCTAAGGTCTTGGACACTCTCGCCAAGTTTTTCCAAAAGAAATTTGATATCTTCGCTGATATCTTCATCATCGTACTTCTGCTGTTCCAAGTTCTCCAACTGTTTCAGAACTTTGCACTGAATCATAGCCAGGGCATATTCTTGGCGAGTTTCTCTTTCAGTTGATTTTTCTAAAAAGTTCTGGGTTAGACAAAGAGATCATGAGAAACTATATAATTCATCATGTGATGTTCTCAGACTTCTGCACTTTCTTTTATACCCTCTCTCCTACTCTCATGTTTAACTACCACCTTTAAGAGGAGATTGGATTTCAAATCCTTACTTCTTTCCTGAGTGTCATTCCCATTTAACCTCAGTGATCAGTTTACTTCTGATCACTCACATACATACTGGCTTACTAAATATCTTTAATTATTGACCCGGGGGAGCCTCCCAGCACTGAACACGTTTACAACAAAATCCATCACAGTCCTCTCTCACCACCCTGTCCCGAGCACACCTTGGTGAACTCTCCACTGGTTTGCCCACCTAGAGCACTTAGGATACTAAGAAAGAATAGTTCTTCAAGTATCTCTCTAACTTCCAGTCAGTCTCCTTTCTTCCCCCTCTCTAATCAAACCTATAAGTGCACAAAGAACGAGTAAAAAAAAAAAATTCCCTTGCTTGAATAATTATCAGAAAAATTTTGTGATATTCAAGCAAGTTCCCTAGTTTTCTTCTGTGATTGTCTATTTTTAAGAGTACTTAGGAAAACAGCAAAAGAACACACAAATTTACAAAAATAAACTGTTCATTGAGTTAACCCGTATTTCTGAGTAAGAACCAGGCTAAGCCCTGGGAACAAGAACAAACAAAATAGGTCCCTGCTCTTAAGAAAGCTACTTTCACGAAGCTCGCAAAGACCTGCCAAATGCCAAAAAAAATAAAAAATCAGGCAGTAACAATTATCTCCAAATCAATCATACCAAAATTTGAAATTTTTTTTTCTTTGTAAGCAAGTTATACCCATGATAATTTTGCTAAATGAATGCAGCAAAAAGAGATTTAGCTCAGCATGCGGAAGTAAGATCAATGCCCACTATTCTTCACTTTATGTTTCCACCAAATTTTAAGTACCTTGAGAATAGTTTGTCTTGTTTTTCTTTATGTCACCAGAGCTTGGCTCAGTATGCAGCTCAGAGTTAGTACTCAATAAAATGTTTGTGGACCTAATATTCTTCCTCAGTGCTTTACATTTACAAATATCACAAATTACATGCAATCCTTTATTATAAATAGATAACGAGTAGTGTAGCAACAGCATAACTAAATTAATTTGCTTTCAGAATTACTTCAAAATTAAAACATGAACTTCCACTCGGGTATGATGAACTATGAACCTAATGGATGAAGCCCTCTCTTAACAGCAAACAACTATAAAACCTGGACAGACTGAAAAAGCAACTACCTTAAAGGAATGGTGAACAGAAGCAGACTCTGGTGTGAGTTCACACTCCTCTGGAATAGAGAAGTCAGGGAACAATACAAGTTAGTCCCTGGCACTGCAGTTTTTATACGGAGGCTAAGTACAGTCTGCGCATTGGGCACAGTGGCAGTCAGAGAACCTACCAAAAAGCCTAAAAGTAGTCTTTCTGGCCTGAGGAACCGGAAAGCTAGAAAACCATGAATGCTGAAGGGGAGAAGGGAAGAAGGATCCCAGAAGACAAAGAGCTAGAAAGGGGACCCAAATTCTGTCTAATCCTTGAAGACTAAAGGCAAAATAAAACCATATTTACATTAAGAAACAGATAATTGGTGACCAGCAGACATGTACTAGAAGATATGCTAAAGCAGGGATTGGCAAAATTTTTCTGTATATGGCCAACTAGTAAATATTTTAGGCTTTGTGGTCTCTGTCACAACTACTCAATTTGACTTTGTGGTGCAAAAGCAGCCATAGAAAATATATAAATAAATGAGCAAAACAGTGTTCCAATAAAGCTTTATTTATAAAAACAGATGGTGGACTGGATTTGGCCCTTGGGCTACTGTAGTTAGCTGACTCCTGGGCTAAAGGAAATTCCACAGCTGAAGGGAAATAAACTGCCAAATGGAAAGCTGGATCTTCAGGAAAGAAGGAAGAACTACAGATGGTTGGATAAATATAAAGGTTGCTGTTTTCCTCTTAACTTTCATAATATACACAAGAATGTTTAAAGCAAAAGTTAAAATACTGAACTGTAGGGTTATAACATATGCACATATAATATTATGACAACTATAGCATAAGAGATTGCAAGTTCTTACACTTTACATGAGGTAATACAATATTAACTTTAAGTTTAATAGAAAAAGGATGTATGCTGTGACACCAAAATGACCTCTAAGAAATAAAACACTGCAAAAAGTAACCATTAAAAAGCCAAAAGAAAAATTAAAATAAAATTTTTAAAAGGATTCAAGTATAACCCGAGAGAAGGCAAACACAGAAGGTAGAAGAACAAAACACAGATAAACAAACAGAAAACAAATAGTAAAATGGTAGACCTAATTCCACCTCTACCAATAAGTACTTTAAATGCCAGTGAACTGAACACCCAGGTTAATAGACAGAGTTTATTAAAATGGAGAAAAATACAAGACCCAAGTATATGTTGTTTAAAAAAGACAAACTTTAAATATAAAGACACAGAATGAAACTAAAAAGATGGAAAAAAATATATCACAGCATAAGAAAGCTGGCATGTCATATTAACTTCAAATAAAGCAGACATCAGGACAAAGAGCATTATCAGTGATAAAGAAGGACATTTCACAATGATACAAGGTCCAGTTCATCAGAAGAATGTAACACTCATAAATATTTTTATAATAAAGCTTCAAAATTCATGAAGCAAAAATCAACAGAATAGCTAGACATTTTAACAGCTCTCTCTCAGTGATTTAAAGAATCACTAAACCAAAAATCAGTACCTAGAAGATGTGAATAACACTATCAACAACCCCAACCTAAATGACATTTATAGAATACTATCCCCACCTGCAAAATATGCATTCTTTTAAAGTGAACATGGCACATTCACCACGATAGACTATCAGATGAGCCATAAAACAAGTCTCAAATTTCAAAGGATTGAAATTTTACAGAATCTATTCTCTACCCATAATGGAATTCAATTAAAAATCAGTAAGTTTCTAATTTCTATTTAGAAATTTAACAATGTACTTCTATGCAATCCATATATCAAAGAAGAAATCATCATGATGTATGACATTAATATTTTTACATGCTTGTCTTCTTTACTAAACTGTGAGATCCTAGACAACAGAACCATACTAGATATCACAGATTATTTGTAATTCCTTCCCTAACCTCCAATACCTGCTACGACCACTCCTACAAACTATTCTCTTTCAGGATACCTATGATTTCCTTCTAGACAAATTCTTTTCTGAGTCCTTAAACTATGGGGAGCGCTAACCTCCCCTTAAAACCTCTCCCTTTATGAAACTCTTCCCTTCCTTTTCTTTTGTGAGATTTTACTAGGTCTACTAAATTTTCTGTTACCTTTCCCAGCTACTTTTCCTATTACCTGCTCTTCTAACTTTAGAAACATATCAAACCTCTTTTGTTCATATGGTCCTTTGTTACTTTCACTGTATATTTGTTGGATGCAGAATTAAACTCCACATTTAAGGTATATTCATAACTAATAGTTTCAACTATAACCTCATTACTCAATATAACTAATAGAACAGCCTTACAGTATTCTTGCAAAACCAACTCCCCTTTCAATTCCCCAAAATAATGGCGCCTAAAAGCCTAGTCATCTTTGATTTTCCTCTTTTCTTCAACTCTTTCAAGCCAATTATTAAGCCTTATCTACTTGTCCTTAAAAATATGTTCTCATTTCATCACTCCCTGTTATAAAGAATGAAAAGAAGAAATGAAAAGTACTTAAGAAACTGAGTTTGCCAGAAACAACTTACATAATCTGGCAGCAACTTATTCTTCAAATACATTATTCTTTCTCTAAACTAAATGGTTTTAATGTATCTTCACCTCAACAAAATCAAAAGTGGCCAATCCAGTATAGGTATCATCTTGGCCTTTGGCAAATTAACAGTGCAGAACGATCTTGACTTCACCAAGAACAAGGTGGAATCGAGTGACAATTCAGATCTTTCCATCACGAAAACCAAACTGCTGGCCTTGTAAAATATACGTTAAAGCAGAACTTTGCAAACCAGCTGTGGTGAAGACCAGTTTTGCTTGTTTTTTAATTTTCAATCAGTCATGAATGAGTGTACTTTCATAAAATACAGTAAGAATCAATGTTAAGACATACAAAATATAAATTCAAGTATCATATTATAAAACTCAATAGACACACAATTATTCTGTCAAGTTCCTATAAGTTGCTAAGTGCTCACTTTCACTTTCTGTATTTATCCATCGCATGGACTAACAAACAGTTCACTGCACTGCACTGATAATGTGGACCACACTCTAAGGAACACTGTTTTAAAGGACTCACTCCAAAATTAAAAATGTATGTCTTGCTAGACCTCATCCAAACCTGGTAACTAATAAGCAAAATAGAAGTTAATCAGAGAGAGATCTAGGCAGAATTCCTGAAATAGGGAATAAGGAAAAGACTTGAGAATAAAATTTCTTCATGGCAATACTTCCATCCCAAAGCAATAGGCAAAACAGCCTCCATATATCCTTGAAAAAGTTATAACTAAGAACTGCCTGCACAGGAAGATTCACATATGTGCGTGTGCATGTCTCTGTCTGTGGGAATGTATGTGTGTAGATGTAAATTAAACCTCGTGATTAATATATCTAATGAAATGAACTCAATTTGGTGGTAATTCTTAAGGCTATGTGATGAAAATCATGAGTTGTAAAAATACAATTTACCTTATTATCTGACATATACCATAGACTCTTGACTAAGCAGAGCCAAAAAGAGAAATCAAACACACAACAGATGTAAAACTCTAGACAACAAAGATGATCTTCAAATGACTTTCTCAGTCACAGCCCCCAAACATTCTAAATTATTTTAGGAACTAAAGGTTGACAAATCAGTTTAAAACCAATGGCAGTAACGTTTGCAGAGACCTGAAGTTCAGCACCTACTATGAATAAGTAAGACTGACATTTTCAAAAATAAAATTCATCCAGCCAAATG